GAGTTATTAAATTATCACGTGATTAGCGCACCGACGTTATTTGTATGGGCTAGGGGGGTGGCCAGGTCAATTGGGTGGCCAGGTCAAGTAGGAGATGCGTTAATTAAAGGAATCCTAGGATTTTAAAGGTAAATATATATTTTAAATTAAGGTAAATAAGGATAGCTTAATATTTATATTTAAGATTAAACTTAAATATTAATTCTATATATAGATTTAATAACTTATTATAAATATTTATAAGGAGTAAAAGATTTATTTTAAGGAGGTTCTCTTTTACTTTATTATAATTAATAGTAAATTTTAGTTCTAATTAAGGATTATATACTTTAATATTTAAATTTTTATAAATTAAAATAAGTATAGCTATTTAATTTAATAGTTTCCCGTTTACTATATATATAGGTTTATATAAATTAACTTTAAAGTATTTTAAGGTAAGCTTATATAGCTAATATAATTAAGGATTAATTTAAAAGTATTATTTTAATCTATTTTATAGCTTTATTTTTAATATTAGTTTTACTTAATAAATATAAAGGTTTATTAATATAGTTATATTTATAATAGTTATAGCTTTATAATTTTGATAAATATATTAAACTTTTATATAATGCATTTTTAAGGGTTTTAGGATAAAAGATTTAAAGGTAGAATTATAGGCTTTTTATTAGGTAAATATTTTTATATTTAATATATTTAATAATAGGGTAGGGGTTCTTTTTATAATTTATTTATTTATGGGAAACCGTTAATAAATAAGGGATAGCTTTTTAAAGGGTAAGATTAAAGAGATCTTCTTTAATATAATTAATTGTTTAGGATAATATTCCTTTAATAAAATTATAAATAAATAAACCTATAAAATTTAATAGCCCCTTTTAAAACGTAAGGTAATTAATAGCTTAAAGGTATAATTAAATAATATTTAATTTTAAATAAGGAATATAAATTTATAATAAATGTTATAGTAATTTAGTTTTTTAATTTATTTAAGTTATAAATATAAGTTTAATTTTTTAAATTTTTAAAGTTATTTAATTTAGGCTTTAATTTAAATAAATCTTCCTTATTTATTAAAATTTCTACTTTAAGCAATATAAGAACTAAAGTAAGTTTATATTTAAATTTAAAATATAAGATAAGCCTTTAAAGCATTATAAGTATTTCTTTTATAGTTAGATTTTTAATAGTTAATATAAAATTATATATATTAAATATAGCTATTATATTTTAAAGCTATAATAATTTAAAAATAAATTATATTATTAATTTACCTTTAATTAGTTAGATAATTATTTATATTAATTAAAATATATTAATTATTATTATAATAAAAATAATAAATTTATAAATAGGATTTAATGTATTAAATAAATTTAGAAAAATAAGCTATTTAATATTTAATTTTTTAATTTTCTTTTAAGTTAAGCTTAACTTATTTATTACAAGTAAATATATAATGTTTACCTTATTTCTTTAATTTATTAAATTAGCTTTATTATTTAAGACCTATTTTATTAATTTACCCCACTTTAAATATTTAATAGTAAGCTTAATCCTATATACCTTTATAAATTGGATAAATATTAAATTAGCATTTAAATATATGCTTTTTTTTATTTTAATATATTATTTAATTATTCCTTTAACCTTTTTTAATGCTTTAATAAATAAAAACTTTAAATTTTTATTAAAATTTAAGCTTAGCTATAAAAGGTTTATAAAGGATATCTTTATAATAATAATATCTAGAAGTTTTATATAATTTATAGCTTTTTATTCCTTATATCCTTTAATCTTTATAAAAGGTTTAAAGGATTAATTAGCATTTTTAAATTTTCGAACCTTTTTTTATCTTAATATAGCCTTTTTAACTTATTTATTAAATAAGAATAAAATTAAAACTATAATATTTCTATCCTTTCTTTTTTTAAGTAAAGGTTTATCTATAACTATAATTATTTAATTCTTTAAAAAGAATAATCCCCTTATTTAAAAATTTAACCTTATTTACTATTATAAAGTTAAAAGATATTATATAGTTAAATTTAAAGGTAAAATATAGGTTTTAAAGTATTACTTTATTTTCCTTTAAGAATTATTTATAATAAAGCTATATTAATTTAAATTAAATTTTTATTATTTTAAAGCCTTTCTTTAAATATTTATTAATAGGAAATATTATACCTTTAAGGTATACTTATTTCTATTAAGCTAACTATTTTTATTAAAAGGCATTATATTTAATTTAAATATACTTCCAGCTTTTATATTAAAAGTATATTCTTTTTTCCGGTTTTAGGGTTTTAATACTATTAATTAATAGGTTCTTTAATATAGCCTTAATTAAAAGAACATTAGTTTTATAAAATTTAAATGGAATATTAGGTTAAAAAGTAGGAATAATAAATATTTTTTAAGGATATTTATTAGTATAATATTTAATTTAATAATACTTAAAGTATATAACTATGTAAAATAGGGTTATTATAAGAGCTATATTAAATATTAATAGGGAATATTAATAAATATTATTTAAAAGGGATTATAGGGGATATTATATTAATTTAAAAGAAGGGGTTTAATATTAAGTAATATAATTTATTAATATTTAGGGGAAATAATAGTTAATAGCTTTTCCTATTATTAATCCCCTATAATTTTAAAGGGCTTTATAAATAACCTTAACGCATCTCCCACTTGACCTAGCCACCCAATTGACCTGGCCACCCCCCTAGCCCATACAAATAACGTCGGTGCGCTAATCACGTGATAATTTAATAACTCTACGAATACTAATCGTATGAAATAATAAAATATACCGTTAGATTCATAATAAAAAGAGCTATTTAACGGTACTCTTTACTAACCTTTACAACTCATATTCGCGGAGTTATTAAGCTATACGCTAAAGTAAGCGTTAAATTAATCCTTGCTTAGCGCCCCTTTAGCGTATTGCTTAATATCTCGCTTAATAAATTTTATAAAAAATAGTAAAAAATACCTCTGGATTCCCCTTTAACTAACGGATTCAACGGTACTAATTATTAAATCGTACGATCAATATTCGTAAAGTTATTAAAGATTGAAATAATGAGGTTTTATATAGGTTATTAGGGTGGCCAGGTTAAGTGGGAGATGCGTTAACTTTTATATAATTTACCTTTTTATTAATTACTTTAACCTTATCCTTAAAAATATATTAAACTTTTTAAATAATTTTATAATACTATTATAATAATTTAGCTACTTAAGCTTTATTATTTAATAATTTTTAATAAAGCTTAAAGTTATTTAATTTATTTATAAATTAATATATTATTATTTAAAGGAAAGTTACCTTTATAAAGGATAATAGGTTAATAAGGCTAAATAATTATTTAAAATTGTTTTTACCTTTTATTTATTTTAAAAAGTTTTAAATATAAATATAATATTAAATTAGGGGTTTATCTTTATTTTAAAATAGGTAAATAAAATCTTTTATATTTATATTAATATTAATAAGCTTTATAAAATATTTATTCTTTAAAGCTTATTTAAAATCTTTTAAATTTTTTATTTAAATAGTACTTTTTATAATATAGTTAATTACCTTTTAAAGTTTAAAATTTAAGTTTAAAAATATAATAGTTCCCTATATATATAATATATTAATAAATATAATAATATTTAATAATAGGATTTAAATCTTTTAAAATCCCTTTATATAAAACTATTAATAGATCTTTTATAACTAATAGGTAATAAACTCCTTACTATTAAAGTAATTATAATAAATTATATTTAGGACCTTATAATTATTAATTAAATAACTATAATTATATTAATATATTTCTTTTATATTTAAGCTTAGATAGGATTTTATAGGTTTAAGTAATAAGGTTAAAGCGATAATTAATAATAGGTCTAATAATTAATCCGGATATTAATAGGCTAAACTAGTTAAAATATTAAATATTATAAATAATAAATTTAAAAACTAATTTAATAATATAAATATAGGAATTAATTTTAATAATAAGTATAAATAAAGATCTATTAAAATAAATAATAATAAAGGTTATTCCTATAATAAATTAATTAATATTATAGAATAATTAAATAAAAACCTTAATAGTTAAATAGTAAAGCGTTAAATAGGGGTATAATAATTACTATTTATTAAAGGGAAATTTATTAATTTAAAGGATATAGATTTTAAATTGGATAATAATAATAAAATTAATAATCTTTATAATATAAAACAATATTATAATATTAAGAGTTATAATAATAGGATAAGCTAATTAATTTTATAATAATTAGCTATCCTTAAGGGTAAAGCTTATAATACTTAAATAAAACTTTAAATAAATTTATAATATTTAATAAAAATGGATGCATTTATATTAGCTTTATAATAGCTATAAGATTTATATTTAAGAATTTAAGGATAAAAGTAGTATTAATTAATTTAAAATTATTAGGAGATAATAAATCTAATGTTTATTTAATAGAACTAATAGGATGTAATATAGTGGTAATTAATTTTATTCCGGGATAGGGGCACCAGATAATGCGGGTAAGCTAAAAAGGTGTAGTTGTTATTGGTAAGTAATTCTAGCTAGCACTGTGGCCAGGGAGGGGTAGAACTAGATACAGTGCTTCCAGGAGTGGGTCCCGTAACTCTAGGTAGCGTCGTAGTTGGGTGCTGCAGAACTTGCAGTCGGGTTTGAGGTTTCTCTCACATCTCGCATCTCGTCTCTCGTCTCTCGTCTCTAGTCTCCAGTCTCTATCGCCGGCTTCACTGCTTCAACAAGCTGTCCAACAACAAACACATTTACTTTCCTACCTAGTCTAATTCATACCTCTCTAAGTAATTCATATGTACTTAAGTGACTGGTCAGGCACATGGAGCAGCGTGGCCCTGCCAACCGACCCTAGCTCTGCCCAGCCCAAAGCCCAAAGCCCAGCCGGCCTAAACCCAGCCGTGCCAACTTTGTACGTCTCCACACGAATCTCGCTGGTCATCCCGTCATCCTTCTCATCCACTCATTGAGGTCGTCCCCTATCTTTCTGTCTAACTTAGTGTACTGTATAGTCTGTAGTGTGTGTAGTCTCCCTGCTGAGTGCTGAGCTGCTCTTCAAGTCGCATCCCAGCAAAACCAGCTGGCCCGTCGTAACTCCAACCCCAACTCCAACTCCAACTCACGCTCGAATTCCAATCTCCATTCCCGCATCCAGCATCCAGCATCCATCACTCGGCATACGGCATCTGCGAACCGACGACAGCAGACAGCATCTTCCATATCACAGCTGCCATCATCCTGTATCCAAAGTAGCCGCTTTACCTGCATCACCCGACCCGAGTAGCTGTATATAGATGTTTCCCTAACCACCCGATCCCCGTTTCCTCGTACCGTGTGACTACCACTGCCCGTGTGGCCGGCTAGTTCGTGCCGTGGTCGTCTTGTTGGACGGTCGTGAAGCTCTCGTCACCCCTTTTACTCCGTCCTAGCCACACATCGCAACGGATGACGACCAGATAGCATCCACCCCCCAATTTCCAGCGGGAACCACGCACGACGACGATGCCCTCTTTCATGAACGACGAGAACTCCCCCATCTACGCCCCTAACGCTGGCATCATCCGTCTCAGCCACCACCCAGCCCAAGACCATCACTTTCCCCCGAAGTTGGTCAACGGTCACGACAAACACGTCCCGAAGCCCTTGCCCACGCCAATTGACCACTGCAGAGAGAACTTTGATGACAACGCCTCGACGCTATCAACTCAGAGCTCCGAGCCACGCTCGCGGATGAATGGGGACGAGTTATCACAGCCGAATATGGCCTCGCTGCCCAATGGCCGCCCACATCAGCTCACTAACGGTTTGAGCTCGAGCTCTGGCGAGCCCATCCATCAGACGGCTGCCGCCATGAAAGCACGCGCTGGCGTACCCATGCAATTGGATTCTCGGCCCCCGGTGGCCATGTCAAATGGCATTGCTGCACGCCCCAACGGTCCTCGTCAGGATATATCGGAGCCATACCAAAGGCAGGGCTCGTGGGAGTCTGGGAGACCATCGATGCAGCAATCGCTCTCGGATTCGAACAGAAAGTCTTCGACCAACATGGATGGCCCGCAAATGGAACGTACCTACACAGGCTCTGTAAACCGTCACTCTTCTGAAACGGCCTATGCCGCCTATGGTCAGGCAAATCCCTCCACAGCACTGTCACCGTTACAAGACAGATCCCAAGCCTCGGAACCGCAGCGCTTCTCTTCACCGGCCAGCTTTCCTCTCCCAGCATCTTCCTCGACTCCGGCATTACATACAACGACGGCTAGTGGCATCAAACAGCGACATACCCTGGAAGTTCCTAAGCCTCAAGCGGGAAGAGCTTCCAGAGACGGCAACGATGCAGCCTACGCAAGTGGTCGCTTTTCTCCATCACCAGCTGGACCCTCTGCCCGGAGAGGCTCTCTTAGCTTGGGAAGAAGAAATACTCGCTCGTTGCACTCTGATGCGCACCGCGACGAAATTGTGCCAGATGAAGACGCTCTACGGTGGGCCGAAGCATACCGGCAAAAGCGAGCTAAGAAGAAGAAGAAGGAAGAAGAGGAAGATGATGACAGGGTTTTGGTAGGAACCAAGGTTGATGAAAACCACGCGAATTGGGCCACTGCCTACAATATGTTGACAGGCATCCGTGTCTCTGTTTCTCGTACCAATGCCAAGCTGGATCGACCCCTAACTGACGAAGACTTCGAAGCTAAGCAAAAATCGACGTTTGATATGTACGTTGCTCTTGACTCACTAGCTTGTCAACTCATGCCATGTTACTAACCCTAGACAGCGCCGGGAACGAACTAGTGCCTTCAGCAAAATATGATTTCAAGTTCAAGGATTATGCGCCCTGGGTTTTCCGACATCTTCGTGCCCTTTTCAGGCTGGACCCGGCTGACTATTTAATGTCGCTCACCGGTAAATATATTCTATCCGAGCTTGGATCTCCAGGGAAGAGTGGTAGCTTCTTCTACTTCTCACGAGATTACAAGTATATCATTAAAACTATCCACCACGGCGAACACAAGTTTCTGCGCAAGATCTTGAAAGACTACTATAACCATGTTATAGACAACCCGAACACTCTCCTCTCCCAGTTCTACGGCCTCCATCGCGTCAAGATGCCGTATGGCAAGAAGATTCATTTCGTCGTCATGAACAACCTGTTTCCACCCCACAAAGACATCCATACTACTTTCGATCTCAAAGGCTCGACCATCGGCAGAGACTATAGGGAGGAAGATTTGGAGAAGAACCCACGAGCGACGCTAAAGGACCTCAATTGGCTCCGTCGAAAACGTCACTTGGAGCTGGGGCTTCAGAGACGGCAACTATTCTTGCAACAACTTCAGAGCGACGTAAAACTTTTACAAAAATTGAAGATAATGGACTACTCTCTCTTGATTGGCGTACACGACCTGCAAAAAGGAAATGGAGAAAATCTGCGCGACAAGACTCTTCAAGTCTTTAACCCCGGTGGAGCAGGACAGACAGAAGATGGACCTGATCCCAATCAAGTACTCATGCGAACGCCCTCCAAGCTAGAGAGTGCGCGCAAGGCTAGGGAACTGCGGCAGATGGTCAAAGCTGAGAGACCAGTACCGATGCGCCAGACCACCGACAGAATGCCAGATGAATTAGCCGAGGGTCATAGTCGAGGTGGTGTTTTTTATAATGACGATGGTGGTTTACGAGCAACGCATGAAGATAATACCCCCGGTGAGGAAGTGTACTATCTTGGTGTCATCGACTGCTTGACCCATGTAAGTGTGCCATGTAGGCAGGAGACATGTGCTGCTGATGACATACTGACTCATTCTTGTAGTACGGCATGATAAAGAAGCTCGAGCACTTTTGGAAGGGTCTGTCAAGTGATCGTACCCAGATCTCTGCCTTACCACCCGAGGAATACGGCAATCGATTCTTGAAGTTCATGTCTGGAATTACTGTGTCGTCAGAGGAGGCTGCTCGAGATCAAAACGACCGAGTAACTGCAGCTACAGCCACAGTGCAGTCGACAGTCCAAGGGCACGTCCCGGCCATGCCCACGTATCTGCCCCCGGCTCCACCAGAAATGAGAAGTCCTGGATCACCCGAACCTAACCCGACGGTAGAAAAAGCTTTGAGGTTGGCAACAAAGAGGGAAAAGGACATTGCTGAAGAGGAGCAGGTTCCTGAGAGGAAGATCACAACGTCAGTAGCACCGCCTAATGGGAGAACCAATTCTCACACCGTCTTGCCTGTGGTCGAGGAATCCGCGGAGGCAGCATCGTTGGGTGGACGAAGCCGGGGCGAGAGCACGACTGAATCTAGACCATTCACGCCTTCGCCAAGAGAGAGGCAGGACGGCTTTACAGATCTGGGTCCCCATGGTATTGGCGGAAGAGGTCCTCCAACGCCACCCAAAACAAGCTATATCGAGCCTGTGAAGGCTCGTCTTAGTCGTGAAGACCTGGACAAAGAACTACCCCCGCTCCCGGGACGAGTAGGAGCAACAGAAGCATCGTAGATCTCAAGGTTATACCGGGATTGGTGGAAGCGTCAGAAGAAGACGGAACCTTGCCATATGATATTAATGCACATAGAATGCGGCGGTCGATAAGTACGCCTGTGGCTGGTAGTGATTTGGGGCCGGCGGCACTTGTTGGTATTTTTGACAGGGAATTGATAGAACGGGGGATTCGCGGTATACGGATTAACCAAAGAGAAAAAAACTCGTCCACATTAGAGTTTAGGCATTCGGCTGCTTTGCCACGGTATCTTTTTTTTTTTTCATATGGGGAAAGTGAGGTCATTTGCATGGGTTGTTGCGCTGAACATTGACGAGCCTCATTATCTCTGTCCCTCCTTTCCCCTTTTTTCCTTTATCCCCTTTGTTGTTGTTGTTGTTGTTGTGTCTATTACAGCATGTTAATCAACTACTAAAGACATGATACCACCACTACTAAATCAATTGCATACTATATATATATGGATTCAAATGAAAAGTAATCATATCGCTTTCAGGCTGCTGGTACTGTTTATTACATGCAAGAGTGGTCAGAGGGCAATTCTCTGCGAGTAGCGAGTTATCAGCAGGTAGGAAGAAAAACGAGCAGTAAGGAAGAGTTAGGTATAGGAGTATTTCCCTTGTTTTGCAAAACAGCAATCAGCGCCTGGTACTGCCTAGTAAATAGGATAATAACAAGGCGAACGTGATAGGAAAATTAGTGTAATGGCGCCTGATCACACTGCACGCTCAGCCCAGCTCTGAAGCAGCCCCTTCACAGTCTGTCGCCACTCGACATGCGTTTCGTGGACCTTGGACAGCGCCTCGTAATAAGCGCGGCAGCCGTCCACGTCCGCCGTAGACCGATACATGTGCAATCGCAAGAGCATCTTGCCAAGGGCTGGCTTCCCATGTGTCTTGATCTTGGCTCGGTCAACGCGTACCGTGAGACTCTGTGACGGTCTGTGATTCGAAACTGTTATGACACCGTCGCCGTCAACAAGTAGGCATTAGTATATTCAATCATACGCTTAGTTCAAGCTCATCATGTGTGGCTATATAGGTAGGTTTGACTTACTCGACTGTGGGCTTGACCCCATTGCTCCAGAGGGGTGATTTGTTAGTATTTGATATATAATGATGAAATCTACAGACGATCATGCCAGAAATACCGACAGTTTCGCTGTTTTTACGTGCACGAAAGGAATTTAAGAAGAAAGAAGCTTACTTACCCCGCTGTCGACGTTGAAGTTTGCCAGCCCTCGTAGTCCGTCGATTCTGAGCTGCTAGTATAAGTTGTAGGTCACTGCCGACATAAGCTATGTTAGTCCAAGCCATGTCCACGATACGGTTCAACGAAGCCGAAGATATTCTCGATGACTGGTGCTTTATCTCGAACCCATATCCGCAGAGACTCACGGTATGCGTGCAGACTCCCAGTCTGGAAACTCTCGATATAAGCGTCAAGGAAGCGTCTCTGTAAGTCATTACTCGTGTATTTGGATGCTTGCTCGAGTTCCTTCCATATATTTTCTAGGTCCTGCGCGTGGTCTCCTCAAACCGGGTCCCACTGACCCCTTTTCATTCTCGAGCGGGAATACTTCAGCCGAGTCAGCGCTATCGACTGAGGCGATGAGAACCTCGAAATCATTGCCATTGTCAGATTTCCGGATCCTCGTATTTTCTGGAAAGTTGAATGCTGATCCAGTATCTGAGACACAATGCCTATCTCCTCCTTGGTAATCTGGCTTTCGGGATATAACTACTTTGTGTTGCTTCGTTCGGATAGCCGAGACTTATAAGGTGGCACTGCATAGACAGAAGGCCTATTGCTTCGTATAGTTCCGAAAGCCTATTAGATCGGGTCGCGAGCGTTTGGAGAACGCTGACATCCACAGCAGGCACGAACTTCTAGTCTCCAGATCCCAATATTTGTTAGCGCTGTCTATTCCACCGTAGAGAGGCCTCGACGCACAAAGTAACTACCAAGATTAGAAAGAAACGCTGCAGCATAAGTCAGCAAGCAATCAAGTTCTCCGCTGCTGATGCTCTGTCCGATCAGGGTATCCCAGTTACCCAAACAGTTGTGGAAGAGCTCGAGGATAAAGTCGTAGATATCTAATGATTCTGGAGACATCTGGCGCATGACGATCCTTGCTCCAGACTAAGGGGCCCTTCGAGACAGTCAGAAACAGCGCCAAATTATCCAGTGCTAGATTCTTGCCTACCGAGCCATGTGGTGTACATATCGCTTTTCTCTCGCTGAGACGTTTGAACGGCGTTTCAACATCTAGGCGGAAGACTTGAGCTTCTTTCAGCTCCATTGAAAGCGATTGTAGAGTTTGGGGGCAGCGTATCAAACAACAAGGCCCTCAGCTTGAAGCCTGGGATGGCTGTTGAGGACTTGTTTGGTTAAGCAGTTGGCGGCACATAACATACCAGTACGTTGGTGGCGTCGAGCGGGCGACGGCATATAAGCCCAGTCGCCCATAACACCGACAATATAAATTCAAAGGCAAAGAAACCACTATCGAACATCTTCACATATCATCTTAAGGTCAATGATCAGTGTTATAGGTCCTCTAATGAAATAGTAATTGGTGGCCTAGCTTTATTTTGCTAGTACGATATTCAGCTCTCTCTATTTCGCGTTTGAACAACGTGTTGTAATATCTGGAACATGGTCTGCACGAAAACAAGCAAGAGACCAACCAAGCCGAAAAATATTGCACTCCAGTACACTAGGCGGGAGAATCGCGCCGATCTTGCCATAGTCGCCGGAGCGAACGGGGCTTTTTGCGCGACGCGTAGCCATTCGGCTGGGCGATCCTACTCCGGAGGTGAGGGAAGTGAATGGCCAAATCGTACTCCTCCCTCTCAACCAGCTATATCGAACAAATAGGCCGCTTTCTGCTGCACAGCTCGGCGAGGCTCTAGTCTTGGCCACACATTGGGATGGAGGCAAAAGGTTGTAGTTTTCGAAACACCGCTCTTGATCTCTTGCTCTGGCCGAATACCACACGGTAGGATAGCAGGATCTCCTGAAGCAGCCCGTCAATGTCCTCATCACATACCCACGGCAGGGGTCTGTTTTTCTCAGAGGCGCAAGCGTGAAGAACGCTCCTTCGGCCGCCTGCCCTCGCACCCCGTGAGTTGGGCTCTTGCAGGCGTGAGACACAAAATGAGGGATACCGGTAGATATAGAGCGTGCCAGAGTGCTTGTCTAGCTCAAGATGGCACGACAGAGAGTCAACCCATTCAAACTTGACTCCACAGAGCTTATTTAATACGTGCGCCGAGATGTCGCTGGGGCGTATTATTTTCGTCTGGTCGAAGAGCAGACGGGCGTCCTCATTTTCGTAGGCGCAATAGTTTGGCGTCAGTAGCATTACCCCAAAGCCAAGTATAAAGTCGAGGAGACTTCTTGTATTCGATTCCCAAGGCTAGTAGAGGCTCATTCGCGTCGTGTCATGATATCTACTCATCTCGTCATGAATTCGGTATCCCCCAGGGCAGTTGGAATCGAAGCAGGCCTGGTAAAGCATTGTTTACATGCTTATGACAGCAAAGACGAGACCTTTGATTGATAGGACGGTCTTGTAACTGTCTTTAGTATAGACAAAACCACGGCTAGTGAGCATGTCGGCGATGCTGTTGATGCTTCTCGGCTCCGGAACTAGAACCGCCCTCCAAATCTCACTCCATATCTTGAGTATTACCGCGGCGGAAGCGCCGTCAGAATCACCGCCCGGGAGACCCAGGAGAACATGCGCGGGTAGTTTGCGCATCTGTTCGGACACCCACCATTGGTACCAAGGGAGTTTGAATGCGGGATCTCCAATCATTTGCTCATACTTGATACTAACTTGTGATCTGTCTATAGAGAACTTCTCTATTGATAATACTGAGACATAGCACTCTTGATCACTGCTGACTAGAATGGAGTAGGATCTACTTACCTAGATTTCCACTCCTCGTATTGTGCGCCACGCGTAGGGAGATATTCCCTGACCACTCAAAGATCGATATTGGTCACCCGATCGCGTCATGGGCACATTGTGAGAAATTCTTACCTTACGTTAGGCATCTTATTGAACTCGCGAAAAGAGATCCAAAAGGAGTTGTGCATATGATAGGCGATCAACCGAAGTATGCAGATCTCTTTATTGGGTGTAGATGGTATGACGTCATCGTACCCCCCCTTCTCTCCCCTTGTGCGTTAATACCCCTGATCAAAGGTATCTGTACGAACGCGAGATGTATATCATTGCTAAAGACATGGTTGAGGAAGCAGTCAACATCGCCAATGATACCCAGTCATTGGGGTACGCCAGTGCCGTTGATGTTCATGGTCTCATTGACTTGGATCTTGGACATCCCGATAAGGCGCTTGAACAATTCACGTGCGCTTGAGATTCGTAAGAAGAAGCTGGGATGTGAAGATGCTTTCATCGCATATAGCCTAAATAATATTGCCCTACCAAACACTGAAATGGGAGAACTGGAGCTTGCGTACGCAGCACACCAGTAGGCAATCAGTCTTCGTTTGAAGGCGAATAGTGACAGGATCGGAAACTCGTACAGTAACTTCTCTAGCCTTCTGCTTCGTATGGACCGTCCTGATGAAGCCGAGGAAGTACTGTCAAAATGTCCATCTTTAAAAGGCTTTACTGATGAGGCCTTCATTAACACCAGAAATCCCAGGTCCTCGGGAGACATGGCCATGTTGTCTCGCATCCGCCGTGCACAGGGCCGGAATACGGACGCATTGTGCCTGGCAACGAAGGCGGCGGTTAACGAGAAAGAGCCTTGTATAAACTCTCCGAAACCTATGCAAATTTGGGTCTGCGGAAAGAGAGTGATGCCTGTAGAAGCAAGGCTACTGCACTATTGGCTGATATGAAGCTAGAGCTCAAGCACGTGCCTTTTGAAGAAGCCGCTCTCTCGAAGCTTCGTCTCTGGATGTTGTGGTAGAGGATGGGGAAAGATAGTATATTGTCGCGGAATAGGGTAAATTACAGTGCTATCGTAGCTTTCGAAAGTCTGAATGTTTAGCTAACTAGTGAAAACAAACGTTACATAGCATAGAGTCTAGTGGTTGCAGATGAAAAGGTCTTATGAACTTGTTTAAGCCAGCCTTCTAACATTTGTCAAATGTTCCTTAGCCGAAACTTCAGATGCAAATCGCCAGGTGCAAACGTGAAATTGTCCTTGAGGTCAATGAATAGGGTCTCACCCTTATCATCGGCTTGAAATCCGATCTCGAATTTCTTCAATAATAGGGAAATGACAAGTCGCATCTCGGTCATTGCAAACTGCTTACCGACGCAGCCATATTTCCCCTGCGAGAACGGAGCATACCCTCTATTATCCTTCACCATGTCTGACTGTGTAGTCCATCGCTCGGGGATAAATTGATCAGCGCTTTCATACGATGACTCCAGACGATGAATTGAATACTTAGGTGCCACGATAGTGACACCCCCGGGGATATATGTAGTGTTGATAGTCACACCTTGTGGCGGTGTTACCTTGTTGCCGGCCGTAGGGACAGGCGGGTACATTCGCAAGGTCTCGTTGATGAAGACAGTCAATTGAACACATTCCTGAAGTTTTGATCCGTCGTAGATATTAAAATCTTTAACCTCATTGTACAGCATCTGTTGTTGCGAGTGATCTCGGGCTAGTTGGTAGAAGGCAAAAGTGAGGACAACGGAGACTGTGCCACTGTTTTGACATAATTAGAACTACAACACATGTATTGCCTTCGATGATCTGTGTACGAACCTTCCTGCGACGATCATTGTGACGGCGTCACCCTGCAACCATGCAAGCTCGGCTTGTTGAGAGCCGTCCTCAATGTATGCATTAATAAGCCACTGTGAGAGGTCTGCACGTTCGTCTTTAATCTGTTGCTGTTCAATACTTGGGGCATTGTAGTAAAATTAGCAGTCCTTGCTTACCTGTAACCTCTCATGCATGCAATCTCTGCACCACTGCAACATGGAATCCCAATTCTTCACAAGAGACGCACGAGGTCTTATGAACTTTCCAAGTTGGACAAGCCAGGGCACCTTACCAAGTGTGCCGCACGCATTCATCCCATCAACCAGAAGACGTACTTTCGAATGCCATTCCCCATTCTGGAGCATATTGAAGGACTTTGAAAATGCGAACTCGCCCATCACGTCAAATGCATACCAGGCAAACCAGTCAGTGACATTGATGATAGCTTCTCGAGAGTTAGCATCCGCGCTGAGTAGACATTCTATCTGGCTTGCTAACAACTCCGTGTAGCGTAGCAGAAGACCGTCATATTCTGCCAATGCCTTGGAGCTAAACCCCCTGTTCCAAATTCGCCTCCTGGCATCATGATCACCAACGTTCCGTGTGGCACTTATTGCCACCATAGGTAAAACAACATCGTAGAAGGTCGCCTTCCTAAATTGACTTTTGACGCCATCAATGATGTGAGGAATGGCAGCATCGATTATCGTGAGTTCTTCTGGACCGGTTCTGACAATTGGACCATAGCGGCTGAATAGCCTCTCAAGTAGTAGATGATTTTTCCCATCGGCACTTCTCCAAACATGCCATAACTTTGTGACAGCGGCCAAGGATGGCCCTGGGAAATCCTTGAGTCGATGGAAGTATCTCCGGTATATGATGATGCTACCGAATAAACCAATGGCGTATAACCCTACACCACGCCCAACGGTTTTCACGGAAGACGTGAAGCTACTAGAGATGGAATAATCGACCCCTAACATTGCTGTTATAAGACATGAATAAGCAGTGATTAACACGGGGACTCGCATATGCCACTCTCCGCGAATAAACACAGTGACATGCGAGAGTACTCCCAGCAGCACAGGTCCTAAAGGGGTATGGCTGAATTCGGTCCAGCTCATAATGATAGATTGATTTATCGAAGCGTAAGATAGTAGTTCGTCTCAGCTGAATTCTGAGGGTGTGGAGATGATCAGGAATAATTATCCAACAGTACACACCGCACACAACACGAACATCTGGGGAGTAGGTGTGCCATTTATTCTACCCTTGATCACCTAGAAGAGCGGGGATCCGAGACACACCTAGGTCATGGGTTGGGATCACTGTAGTTCCCAATGCGCCACAAAAGCCCGTCTCGGAGAATATGTTGTAGGTTCTCAGGATGGCGGGAAGACGTCAGCTCTTGCATGGGCATGGACAGTCTTAGTGCGTAGTCAGGTTCATCTTCTTGCATGATTTGCCCTGAGACTTGATAGACAGCCTAAAAACGGTAACCGGGCTGACAGATTAGAAACATTGATCCCAAATTGGGAAGTACCATGCTTGAATGTTTCCTAGGTGTAGTCTTGTCTCTCGCGGGAACTACAACAGACCGACAAACTGCCATGTTCAATCTAGCGTCGCTAGTAATAGTTGCTTAAGGTTTACTGTGCTTGCGAACTCTAAATGGCAGTTTTCTTCCAGGGAGCTTTCGCTGAATTTGAAGGCAATATTGTCAAAGAAGAAATCCTGAAATACGGCCGATCGGTCGTTTAATCTTATACCGTGTCGGTGTAGAGAATCAAGGCTCAAGAGACTATCATAAAAATAGACCGAATATTTCCAAGACGCTATTGACATCACCCATAGTACCATCAAATCAAGCTAGAAAGAAATATGGCCTATTGATCTGTTGTGCCCGGGGAAACACAGGTCCGCAGTTTTCCGAAGAATATTAACGCATGGGAATAGTCAGAAGTATATCTCCTCTCAAGTAGATACCAGCCAAACCACCAAAGTATGTGCTAGTATCAAATGTGATTCACCTGTATGGTCCCTTTCAGTCGTCTTGTCTCGGAAAGATCCTTAATCTTATAGGGTATAATGAGGGCTGTTCTTTGGATATACGAATCTCTTTCTACCCTGTACCTTTTCACGGCTAGCGATTTCAGTACAGTACTTCTGCCGCAGACATTATTCGCTCTTTTCTCCATGTTATCGGGACGCTTCACAGCATCAAGCTGGCACGATGAACCACAGATAGCGTTCACCACCAGACTATGCTGCGTGGTCTTGTGGATATGGCTTCAACTCCTCGTGCTTGATCTAGCTAATCAGCGGCTCCCCGACTCGGTTGCCGAAGACATCGTCAATAAGCCATGGCGTCCCATCACGGCGGGACGTATAACCACGGAGGGAACTCGCCAACTGCTTATTGCGAGCATCGCCGTCTCGCTAGCGATCTCCAACTACCTCGGCGTGGCACCTGAGACGCTCTTGCTCTTCACATTCAACTGGCTTTATAATGATCTCGGCCTGGCAAACGGCCACTGGCTCCTCCGGAACCTGATGAATGCCCTAGGGATCACCACGATCGGCGCCGGCGCAACTCGCGTTGCATGTCATGATCTGACATTCATGGCCGCTCCTGCTGCACGCTGGTGGTTCTTGTGCGGAGGAATGTTGATGAGTACGATTCATGCACAAGATCTGTATGACCAGCAGGGCGATGCAGTCCGTGGGCGTTCAACGGCGCCGCTTGTGCTGGGCGATGGCGCTGCACGGTGGACCGTTGGCGCAGGGGTTCTATTTTGGAGCGTAGCTAGTGAGTGGATGTTCTCTCTCCGCCCGTTTTCGTTTAGAACACTCTTCCTTGGATACAAAACGCCTCTGCCCCTCTCTCTGTGGAAACCCAGCACGGCAGAAATCCCATATTACGTCACTAACCTATCAGTTTCATAGTGCCGTTCTCTCTAGGGTTACACTTGTGCGAAGACTGGTTTGGCTACTCTGTCCCGGTTATACTAGGCATGGTTATCACGGTTCGCATCTTGACTCTTCGCGATGTTTCAGCAGATAAGCGTACATTCAAGCTATGGGCTCTTTGGACTGTATGTCTATATTCACTCCCACTGCTGGGAAGAAACAGCCTACATTCTAGTGTGCGCCTCATGGATTAGGTTGATCGTTCTGATCGATAGCAGTCTAGTTGAAATCTGCCAAAATCAGATGCCAAGATTCTATTGTCAGAATGGCACATGTTAAACAACGTTCTACCCGGAACGCGGTACTGAGAAAGTATGGTCAGGTTGGTCAGCCGTCTGCGCCTATGTAGACAAGACAGATAGCTCTACGCCCTCGACGCAGTTATAGAATTACGTTTCACAGCAAGACAACGCGTGAGGTGATCTTTCAAGTTACAGTACACACTCTGAACTAGTATTAGTAATCTATCTTTTCCCCCTACATAGTATCGCGAGATTTAGACCCTCAAAGATGTGCCTTCCATGATGTCGTGCAAAGGAACGACAATTTCCGGTAACCCTGCATATACCTTGAGTCAATGTCAGTCATGTTGGAGTCGGCGACTACTGGGATGTGGCTTGGTGGTTTGCTCGGTTATGAAACGGTTGCAATGCATGTAAGCTTATCACCGAAAGGTGCATATTGTTGATTACTTATATAAGCATCAATGGGATAACTTCTCTAGCTAGAGACTAAGACCAGTCTATATTGTGTTGATCTTCACTCAGAAAATTTTCGCTTGACTGTTAGGGCTGGCGTACGTATAGCGCAAATTCTTTGAGAGCAACACGAAACCTAAGTAGTACGGGAATGGGATGTTTTATCGGTCTTTGGTGTCCATGTATGTCGATCTTTTCTCGCAAAGAGGGGGGTGACAATCTAGTGACGGTGGCTGCATTCAGCTGCATGTCATATCACGAAGTTGGGGTAGAATATCAGAAGGAAGATAGCTGTCGACTTCACCTCAAGAAGAGTTCCAAGTATGAGTACCGAGGACTTGGTATGTGTTTGATGTGTAGAGAAAGTTTCATTTAAAGGAGGATGCCAGCTGTGAGTAGAAGGAGGGGAACAGGAGAGTGTATCGCGAGCAGCATGTATAGGATGGGTAGGCTTTTGCTGAAAAGAAGCCGTCTTGACTACATATAAGTTTGACCTTAGGTAGTACCCTAATGCGTAGCTCTTATCTCACGCCAGCCTCTTCATATGCACACTTTAGTAGTTCTCAGCAATCCTAAGTTAGATGGGGAGTAGCAAGGTTTAAGAAACCTATGGATTTGCCGGAATGTCATTACTCAGTGTATGGTAGTATAGCTATAGCCTTAGCCCGAGCACCATGGCTTCAAAATATTCCATGCGAAAACAAATATCATGCAATGCCCCTACGGTAGGAGCTCTCGCAGAACCGGCCTGTGTGATAAATTATAGATTAATCCAGCATAATATCTCCAATTCTTGTTCTACACTCCATACACATGGCCTGGCGGGATGTCCAGCAATTCCTTGTCATCAGCGGTCTCTCTCATTTCATGGGATATATGTAGATCAACACTTTTCAGAATCTTTCCCTGCTTGGAAAGAGACTTTAGATGGTGCGAGGATGATGTGTTGTTTGAGTCGCGATCGTTATGGCGATAATATTTTCCTGAGATGTTGGTACCTCTCTTCGTGCCAAAGAAGCGTGGAAACATTTTCAACGTGATTGAGCGTATGCTCGGCAGGCAAGCGCTGATGATGAAGATATCACATTCTAGGACGCTCCAGTATACGCCGGGTGCATTATCATCTAATTGTGTAAGAGAACATGTCCATTAGACATGTGATATCCGACGTATTGAGATGGTGAGACTTACAGGTTGGGTTCATGGTCTGGGCAAACTGAATAAGAGACTGTAATCTCAAGATGCTCACAATAGTCACGCTGAAATGAGATCAGTAGCCGAAATTTAATGGGCGGTATCCTCACATATTGAGCTGATTCCTTAATCCACTCGAATGACAGCAGAGAAATTGCACTTACACAAATCCTAGAGCGAACATGATAAAGACCTGGATCTTCATCTTCCAGCTCAGTTGCGTTTTTATGATATCGTGTAGAGGTAGGGATATGATAGCTATATCAACAGCAATTTCAATGGCTGCCCGGGCCCAGGAAAACAGGTTGATGTCAATACATGTTCCAGTAGTTTCTCCCGTCCAGCCAGTCCAGAAAAAGTCGATTGGTGTACATTGGAAGATAATGACTAGTGTATTGGCAACACCGAATAACACTACAAACACCATCAAGAAGATAGACCCCCTTTGTAGTAGCGTGGATGTATTCGCGAAAATCCGACGGTAGAAAGCGAGAATAGAGAGCTGAGTGAACATTTCGGATGGGAAGTAGAAAATCTCGGCCACATAAAGTAGCTAGGCCAAACAAATCAGTCAAGTGAACCACAACCAGCGGACCAATAATAGTGACGCTCAACACTCACCTCTAAAGTAATGTTGATGTCCGGGAAAGGGATGCTCCAGAAGTCCTCTCCCATTCCGTGATGGACCACTGAGAAAGACTTAGCCAGATTTCTGCGATGAACATCAGGTATAGAATACGGTTCCTTACTAGGATAACAGACGAAGTTCAGTACCGCTCCGAGTACCTGAGCAGTGAGAATTGTCAGCGACTATGAGATAGCTAAAGCTTCTGTGATCCTCACCACTCCAGCCGTGAGCAAGTAGTCATCCCAACCCGGAGAAAGTTTCATAAGATAGACTCGGTCGAACATGCGAAGCAAGAACAAGAGGATCGCCAGCGATCCAAATGAGGCTGGAATTGCAAGAACTGTAGTGGATACATCGCCTCTGGGAACACCACAAGCTGACAAGGTGGCATTTGTAGATGCTATTGGATGCTTAGCTTGAGGTCCCGTGCCCGGGGAATTCGCAGTGCTGAAGACTGAAGAGGATAGGATATTCTTACTCAATGTCTCCTTTATGGTACAGCTTAGAGCCTCGCATTTCTGAACGGCACCCAAGAAGGCAACATCTCCACAGAGACATGCAAGATCCGAGGAGCTACACGAGGAGCTAGGAAACGTTGCTTCGAAGCATTCGGCCTAACAACAGTTCCGTCCATTTAGTTCGACGTTAGAAGACATAAGTAGCGTTTGAGTGTGACTAACTGCACAGCTTGGAAGTGTGGGTATAAGCTGGATCTGAGCGAAACAGGACCCGAAAAGGGCAGCAAAGACACATAAGACCTGAAGAACCCCCATGACGAACTTTGGCCGCACTGCCAGCCGCCCAACTAGCGACAATATATACAGGAGGACACGCAAGAAAAACAGCGAATTAGTTCGGCGAGGCGTATCGGGTTGGGTTAGTTGTTGGAGGTGTGTAGCTAATGCCCTACACAATGCGGTTCGGCTTCGACAGTAATGTTGCTCAAACGATGTCCTCCGATGGGGAATAGAGCTATGCAGAAGTCATGAATAAGATGTAGGACGACTTCGTGCATAGGGTAAAAAAAGACTAAGAGCGAACACATGGAGCCATTTCTATATGGGATGATGGATGGTAGTTAACTGCAAGCAAATCTTACTATGCCGGCACTTAGTAGCTACATAACGATGAGATCTACAGATTTGGAAAGTCGCACTCATCTTTTCTTTTCCAATTTCATATAGGAGAATGGAACTTTTGCTTGACGTTATTTGTGCTGTTGGTTCGGTTTCTGTTCCTCCTACGTATAGACGATCCCCCTGAGGGAGGGAATAGGAAACACAGCACCCAATCGAAGTATGGCACTGCTAGCATACCCTACACAACCCCGAGCAATTCCCATATCAGCTGTTATATGCGCTGCCCTGGTCCCTGCACTATGCACTACCTTGGGCTGTTTGCGCTGTATATTGCGTGTGTAACTGAAGAGAAAATCATCGATGCATTCACGAGTGCTTACTGCCCGGGACTTGTGTATCTGCGCAGGACGAGCTGTGTGTGATTGCATGATACCCCAGGGATTACCTACGCGATTGCGACGTTGTGTTAGTCTGCAGGGGAGACAGAGACTGGACAGCTTAATAAACCGTTTCTTGATGCGGCACGGTTATTCGCGCCTCACGTTCCGTTATCCGCGCACCCTAAACCTCACATAGCAATTGTCCGGGCCATGTCCAGGGCCCCTGTTACCTACAGAATGTTAGCTCAGTACCAAAAACAAAGATTTCGCAAGGTTGTTACCGGGGTTGTGACTAGGGCGCAACCAGGGTTTAAGAATGCGTTACCGGGTGGGGTTACCGGAGGCTTCGCAGGGAGGCTTTTCGACTGGCGCGCGAGGGGGCCCTGTTACGAATTCTGGCTCGAGTCAGTAGAAAATAGGCGGTTGTATTAAGCTAACACCCTTAAGTAACTGGCTCGCCTAATCTACCACCCCTAACAGTCCGTCGTGGCAACAATCCCTGCACGGCAAAGCTCATGATAGCTGTACCGAGAGGCTTACTGAATGGCCCGCTGAGTGAGTGGCCCGCTGTTAGATGCGTTCTGCACCAGTAGGTGGTTGTCCGCCCTGGGCAGCACTACGCAGTATGGCAGGGAATCTTCGGTATTACAATGAGTCTCGGATTCTCAAGGCGCAGTAGCTGGCCTTCCTGACCATGCTGGGCTATATGGTAACACCTGGTGTCATGGTAATCTACTAGGTTAGGGGGCATATACCACGTTGTTACGTCTTGCTCCTGATTGTATGCAATGCAAAATCCCTTGGAAATTGATTGCAACTGCATTGCCTGATATATGAGCATGGCTACATTACCAGGGGCTTCCATGCAGAACGTGTTCTCTCCAGGCGAGGAGCAAACTATAAGGGATTATGGAGTATGTAGCACGTGTATACCTAGAGCATGAAGCCTACGGGCGGAGACCAGAGAAGCTCGTGGAGCAACTCTCTTCACTTGGAAAATGAAGAAGGACGAGATATCGACATACAGATTCGTGCAGCTATCTATCAAGGCCTCATATGAAATAACAGCTACCACTCTGAGAATGGCGCTGAATGCTCCGTCGCTGGTGCTTGCCCTGGGCATTGCATATGTCGCAGCCACACTACTCCGAAATCAATTGAACAAGGCACGTCAGCCACTGCCGCCCGGTCCTAAAGGCCTGCCTCTGGTCGGGAACTTGAACGACTTGCCCAAGCCCGGTGCGTTCGAAGCGCAACACTGGCTGGAACATAAAAAGCTATACGGTCAGTCATGATACTTGGATAAATGAGACCGCCCGATACATACGAGCTTTGGCTGATGTCCGTGGCTGGACGCCCTCATCAATGAACAGGTCCGATAAGCTCTGTAACTGTCTTTGGCCAGTCAATCATCATCATCAATGATGCGCAAATTGCATTTGAGCTGTTTGAGGCAAGATCCTCGAAGTATTCATCGCGGCCTAAACAGCTCTTTGCAAGTGAACTGTACGTCGTTGACTAACACCACTGTATTGTCTTGCGCACTGTTGACACGGAGCCTACCATCGTAGGGTAGGATGGGAGAACACGATCGGGATGTCCCCGTATAACAAAAGATTTCGGGCTATGCGCAAGAACCTAGCGCGTGTTATCGGTTCCAATTCGGCTGTGGCACAATTTGGTGACTTGCAAGCAGCCGAAGCTGGTCACTTTCTCCTTCACGTCCTAAGAAGCCCAGAAAACCTTTTGGACCATATCAGAAAGTAAGTCCCTATCCCCTGTTACTGTATTGCTTTAAAGCAGCACGGGACTCGTTACTGACATCTTGGATCAGGGCGGTTGGTACAGTTGTCCTGAAGATCGCCTACGGCTATACGGCGGAGCCGCATCGAGACGATGTCCTGATTACTATGGTTGGCGATGCCATGGACAAGTTTGCACGTGCTGCAGTGCCAGGCGCTTTCATCGTGGATCTGCTCCCGTTCTGTAAGCACGACTCGATCAGCCACGTACTCCGCGACCGATGATTGACTGGAGAATAGTGAATGGGCTCCCGGACTGGATGCCTGGCACGTCCTGGAAGAAGACTGCTCGCCAATGGGCCTCTGAGCTTATGCGCGTGACAGACGTGCCTTATACATTCGTCAAGCACCAGATGGCACAAGGTACCTATCAAGCATCTTTCCTGTCTCGCCTCATTGAAGCGGGTGAGGACACAGACCCCGAGGTCAATGACATCAATAAGTGGTCGGCTATGTCTCTATACTCCGCAGGGGCAGATACGGTAAGTCGTCTATGAACCGATACATCGTAGCCTCTGACATAGGTCTTTAGACGGTCTCAGCTATTGCGACCTTTTATTTGGCGATGACGATATATCCCGAGGTGCAGAGACGGGCCCAAGATGAGATCGATCGCGTCGTAGGAAACGCCAGGCTACCTACGTTAGCGGACCGCAATGAGCTCCCTTACATTAATGCTATCGTCAAAGAGACGCTTCGTTGGCACCCAGTGGCCCCAATGGGTCTCCCACATCAGAGCACGGAAGACGATATATGCGAAGGATACTTCATTCCGAAAGGCTCTATGGTCTTTGCGAATGTTTGGTAAGTAAATGCGCATTTAACCATGCCCGTCCCGAGATAGCAATGTCTGATTATCATTTAACTCAGGCACTTTACGCACGATCCCGACCGTCACCCCAATCCCGAGGCCTTCAAGCCTGAACGATTCTTGGCTACAGACGGCCACACACCGGAGCCCGATCCGCATAAATTCGTCTTTGGCTTTGGGCGGCGCGTATGTCCGGGGAGCTACCTCGCCGACACAACTTTATTCCTCACGATCGCGCAATCTCTAGCGGTCTTTAACATGAGCAGACCAGAAAATGGGGAGGACGGGCAATGCAAGCCGGAGTTCCTTGCTGGCGTCGTGAGCCACCCCTCGCCTTTCAGGAACGCGATCAAGCCAAGATCACCTCAGCATGAGAAGCTCATCAAGTCACTCGAGGACATTTATCCCTGGCAGCAGAGCGATGGGGAAGTTTTGGGGAATATGTCTCGGTGAAGTCAGCTATATACTATTGAATTAGGATGATCTGGATCTTGATTATGTACTAAATACACTTGTAAACTGATCTGAACGAGCTACTTGTCATGCATGTTCATCCTAGCCATCACAACCAAAAAGGGAGGGCGACAGGATAGAAGAGGCCGACATGGCTAAGCCAGGCTAGAGTAAGCTTACACACTGCGATGCTCCTAGTCGGCTACGGCGCATCGATAAACAACGCTTACAGCTTTCGCCGATCTAATAGACGGCGACACAGTAGCTTCAAAATGTGTGGCAGCACTCAAATCTCAGTGTTGAGCGGTTATGCTTGCCTAAGTATTTCGAATGGCCTAAGCCACTGTATGCGTTTCGCTTTCTTCATGTTGCCAATTCGGGGAGAATGGACTCTTGAATCGCTTCCTCGGTACTGCAAGACCACATCGGCGAGCTATGGGCTTACACTTATTGACTAAATATCGCCGAGGTCCCGATGTAGCATCGCGCAGTGCACCTGTAGCCCCACGTATGTCTACAGGCATAAGAAGACCAAGATATCGTTGATTAAGACCTTTTGAAGACATCTGGTCGTTTGAAAATCTGATGTAAGAGGCTAGTCCAATAGCAAGGTTGGCGCGATTAACCTAGTGCTTTTCGGTCTCTTTCACGATGTTCATCATAGCTGTAGTATGGAATATCCGTACTGTAAGCCACATGACACCACCTGCGTCACGTATGGGTTGAGGGATTCAGCAGCACTAGCCTACCATCTACCTATAACCCTCTACCCCGAGTGTGCCAACCCAACGACATGGGTAGAACCTAGGGTAGAGTTGCAGCTGGGACTGTACTGAACACCAGCGTGGACTGGGATTAGGCGAGAGTCCCGAGCCAGTCTAGTTTGAGTTAGCATGCCAATACAATGCATTCTCAACAAGCACATAGGTAATCCATGTAGGCACCGGGCATTTGTCCCGTCCAACTCTGCCAAAAGCCTCGCTGCTGATTACCTCACCCGGACGTTGGACTGGGGATCTGCGATTGCTTTTCTGCGGCTGGAGATACCTTCGGCGGGCCATGCTTACTTGGTATGATACCTAATCATATTACGGCGAATTAGCTGATGATGAGATGTTCTCAAGGTGCGTGGTTGGACGATGCATTCAGTGCGTGTCAATATGGCATGCAGCTAGTGGCCTTCGTATCCATATTACATACCACTGACACATAGGTAGTTACGCGTAGGCAGATCGGCCCGTTACGGCGGCTCACTCGAAAACGCGATTATGCCACTCGACCACGAATCAGCCAGGTTTACCAAAGCGACGTATATATCAACGCTCGGCTGAACGTAATGGATACGCCCGCAGGTACATAAGAGTGGCTGTCAGCATTCTACTTGGGTAATGGAGTAACAGCACCCATGGAAGCTTTCCCAAGACAGATCATAGAAAGTGAGAATTGGGATAAAATACCGGTAGACTTCGAGATGGAAGCAAATATTGGAGCAAAATAATGTTATGTATGCGTCTATTGTGCAACTATTCTATGCTGTTCCAAAGGGGGCGATGCTACACTAGATGATACTGTAACACTACCACAGGCTCTGACTTCCTTGTAAGAGATACCAATGTACGCATCTTGATTATGTAGTAGGTATAACGTTGGCTGATAGCAGCCTCATAGATAGTTAAAGCATGGAAGCTGTGTCATGTACGCTGCATCCAATATCCCACGCTCTTATAAAGTGTTAGTTAGCAAGTAAGTTTAGACTTGATTCACACTAACATTACATTCAAACACCAAAGATAACTCGCATATGTTCATAGATAGACTAAATACAGGCCTTATCCAACTTCGGTAATGTGTCTACACTTCCTTAACGTAGAGTTCTGTTATAGAAGAAAGCTTAACCATTGTTACTTAATATACCTTCTCCATCGTATGCCCTTTCCTCTTTCCAGTAATAGTTGCACTATATGAAGCCTCCCGTGTTCCGAAGCTCGTTTGAGAGCTGTACGGCCTTCGTATTTCGCTGCTGGTGCGTTCACATTAGCTCCACATTCTAAAAACATTTTCGCTATGCTGATAGATCCCCTTATAGCTGCCAATTGCAATTCTGTAGCCCCATAATGCTTCGATGCTGGTACAATTATGTTAGCTCCGACTTGGATGAGAAGGAATGCTAAATTTATATTGTCATACTCGACAACCAACTGTAAGGGTGTTCTTGGACCCTCATCCACTTCTGTACAGTAGCTGTCCAAACTTTCGAGACATGCGATGCACTCCTGTACGCTTTGGGCGATATCATGTGCGGCGCTTCTCAAAAGCAGGGCCTGTGTTTAATTCTGATGCTTATAGGTTAGTGGGAAACATGCTAAAAAACATACATGCGGTAGGTGTTACACGCACAACCTTTATGCCAGCTGAATATGCAGTTCGCCTTGCACTTCGGCCGTAGGGAGGACCATTACAGGCTGTTCATGATCTTTCAAGACATACGGGCAATATTGGGCAATAATATTGGAAAGTGAGTTTATATAGACTTCGCTTCTTGAAACAGACCCTAAAGACCTAGGCGGTCTAGATTAGCAAACCAGTTATATAGAGTGGAGTCAAGTCACCAACAGCTAAGGAGTTAGTTGGTTAAGAACTTATATAGCTTTAATTATTCATTATAATTTGACTTTTAAGTCCTAAGCCTAATATCTCTACCCTTGTTATAGTAGGTTTATTATAATAATATTTTCAACCTGTAACTTTAGTTTAGTATCCTACCTAAATCATTCTATTAGCGAGACCTGTGTCCTTAAAGGTAAATCTTGTATATAAAGGCGTAATCCTATATCTTAATGATAGATTATAACTTGGTTAAAGGTCTACCCTGTCCAGAAATGGTTAAAGACGCTTGCGAGATCTCCGAAATGCTCTTGCAACCTGCCAACTTCATACATCGTTTAAAATCTTCATATAAAATGTTAAGGAGTTTTTCTACTCCTTTCTCTCCGTTATACTGGATCTTATTAGAAAACAATCATATGATCTATTACGATGCACTTACTGCTAAGCCCCACATCACTGGCCGACCTACCCAGCAGCATTGGGCACCTAGAGCAATAGCCTTGAAGATGTCTGCGCCAGTTCGGAACCCGCCGTCAATATGAATGGGAATCTTGCCATCGGCAGCTGCAACACATTCGGGGAGGGCGTCAAGCGTGGCCGTGACGCCGTCGAGCTGCCTGCCGCCATGATTGCTCACAATGACACCATCGCATCGGTACTCACGCGCAAGCAGAACGTCTTCCGCTGTTAACACGCCCTTAATCCAAATTTGCATTTTTGTCCGGCTCCGGAGCCAGGGGATATCGTATTCCCAAGAGTGCGCATCCGAATTGAAAGCGACGAAGCCGTCGTCATGGGTTTGGGCTTGAATCTTCTCGGACGTCTTGTCCTGCATAGGGAAATCAAGGCCAACAGGTGTCCGAAAGTCATCCCTCCATTCGTTATACCGAACACCAAGTACAGGGCTATCGGCTGTTAGAAATATAGCAACACACCCAGCAGCTTCAGCACGTTTGATTATCCGCTCCTGCAATGCTCGATCTTTCATTGTATATAGTTGCATCACATAGCCGATGGGGCCGACAGTGAGGCCGGCGCTCGTGATCTCCTCAATTGAGTAGTTTGCAAATGATGAAACACCCATGTTTATACCCCGTCTTGCGCAAGCACGGCTGGTAGCGAGCTCGCCATCGGGGTGAGCCATCGCTTGGATACCAGCTGGAGACACACCCAATGGAAATGCTATCTTCCGGCCAAGAACCGTCACACTTGTGTCTGCTTTTGACACATCCCTTAAGACGCGGGGCCGGATTCGATACTTGGAAAAAGCCGTGACGTTTTCAAGTACCGTGATTTGATCAGTTGAACCATCATTGAAGAAGTCTACATAACCATATTGGTTAGCTCAAAGTAGCTTAAAGATAAATACTTTCAAGAGAGGTTCCCAACTTAGCGTGACTCTATCTAGTCTCTTTGCAGCTTCTTTACGAATGTCGTCGACACTTAAGATAACCACGCCTGGCTGAGCCATTATGAATTATCTACCTATGCTCAGATGTTTAATGTAAAGCTCGACAGGCTCGTCGGGCAGGCTTGGTAATCGATGCGGGGATAGCTATATGCAACTGTTAAAAGTCCTGTCATTGGCCATGTCATTATCTACAGCCCAAAGGACGAATGTCCCCTCTTGGCGACCAACCAGTTTCTTGTAATATAGCCTAATGTGGGACGCTCCTTGACCCCACCCAAGTGTCTCTTCAGGAGAAAGAGGCCGTGTAGATTAGCTGTGCGTGAAGCCATACGCCTATAGTGTTATTCTTCTCAGGATTATGACCCATATTCCAATATTTGCATCTTATAACTTCCGCGCCAACTGTTAAAAAATCTACGGCACTATTGGCTATATTAATAGCTTGCTAACGATCCGATCGAAAGTGAGCCTGTTATACACACGCTAATATTCAATTTCTTTCCTATCGTACTTGACGATGTAGCAAGAAGAAGGTTTGAATTAACCGCCCAAAACTTTAACTACGCCTGGTCTGTGGAAGAAACGGCTGTCTAGCAGACCTCTTATATTAGCAAGTTAGTTTAGGCTCGGCCATTATTCCAGGACTGCCACTCCTGCCGCGCACTGCCACGGGGGAAGCCGAATCAGTCATATACCTCCAGCAGCGGAGCAAGTTTTTGATCTACCACAATTAATTCACAAGTATCGGTGATTCGGTCATCACACCTACCCAACAATTCGCTCGTATTTCTAGCCGATGCCTTAATGCCCTATATTAGATCACCTCTCTAAGATTTGCATTCGTTGAGCATAGATACTTGCACCCGATGAATGGTGCATATAAGTGTTAAAGAGTTGGAAGCTTAAAGATACCGAAAGTGGAAGCGCGTATCCAGCCCACCTATGCGGACAGCTGGCGTCACCTGCGGACAGCGTCGCTGGTTATCTTAGATAATTTATAAGGGCTAAGGCGCTTCATTTCCACTCCCCCTTTTTTAAACTCTTTCCAAACCCTTTCCATTAAGTATAAGGTTCGTTAAATATACTACTAATATTTTAATATTAATAAGTATACTATTAATATTAATTAATAAGTATTAATATTAATATTAAATTTTAAATTAATTAATAAATATATATTAATATTAATTAAGAATTAATACTTAATAAATAAATATTATTAATATATAAATTATATTAAATATTAATTCTTAATTAGGATTAACGTTATTAATAAAGTAACATTAAGCCTTATTAAGTAATTATTCTTTTCTTTAATTATTTATATTATATAAAGGCTTTACTTTTAAAGGTAAAGCTTTATATAATAGTTAAAATTATATATTAATTTAAATATAAAGAAGAAAAGAGAATTATTATATAATAGTTGATTTTAATTAAGTTCTTTATAGGTTTAAAGGTAATTATAATTTATAAGTTAAATAATAATAATTATTTAAATTAATAAATATATATATAAGTATAATAATTTATATAATAGCCTTAACGCATCTCCCACTTAACCTGGCCACCCCCCCAGCCCATATAAAAAACGTCGGTGCGTTAATCACGTGATAATTTAATAACTTTACGAATATTAGTCGTATAAAATAATAAAATATACCGTTAGATTCGTAATAAAAAGAGCTATTCAACGGTACCCTTTACTAACTTTTACGATCTATATTCGCGGAGTTATTAAGCTATACGCTAAAGTAAGCGTTAAAGTAATCCCTACTTAGCGCCCCTTTAGCGTATTGTTTAATATTTACGCAGGCTCCGGGTTAGGGTTAACAGCGCGGCCAGCGTTGGACTTGGTTAGGGTTAGGGTTAGGGTTAGGGTTAGGGTTAGGGTTAGGGTTAGGGTTAGGGTTAGGGTTAGGGTTAGGGTTAGGGTTAGGGTTAGGGTTA